TTGAAATGTGACAAATGAAGTGGCAAATAAAACTCAAAGACAAGCGGAAGACTGTCCTAGGACATTAGGAAAACCTCAGTCACCATAGTAAAAGACATCTAACTAAATATTTCAAGTCTTGTGCAATAAGTAATCCTATAGTGAATGACTGATGGCATTTCTGTGTTTTAAAATATTGAAGAGTCTATCCCTGACCTAAGCTGACACAATGATTACTTCAAGCTGAGTACTTCCTTCATCCTAATGGAAGAGCATTTTAAGAGGACAAGCAGTAAATGCATGTCTCTACTATCTCTGGTATTCATTTACTATAACCCCCCTTCAGTGAAAAGACATGACATTTAATAGTTGTATAAAATCTTGTCAAAACTAACTTTACAGGGACAAATGTCAAAGTGACCATTGAAACTTCACTTTGAAGGGAATCTGAAAATAGGAAGAGTGGCAATAACAATTGGAGATTAAATTTTTATGCATTTTGCTACAATAAAAAAAGTGAAAATTTGCATTCATGATTGACCAACAAGTAAGAGACCAAATACACGGTCAGCAGCAGATATATAGCACCCAAACAATTGCTTTTGATTGTATAAAGATATAACAAGCACTCACTTGAGTCAAATTGTTGACTTGGATGTTGAACCTTTGTATTACTTCAGTTATCTCCTTCTTTGCCACCATTTTGCCTGAAGAAAATTATGACAATTATTGCAATTAATACATGAGGATGATTCTTTTTTTAAACAGTCAATAAACATGCATGACGTGGACATGCCTACAATGAAAACAAATAATTACATTTTAGAACATAAAGATGACAATAGTGCAGAAATGTTACTTAGAGTGTGTTTGGGACACATTCTTTTGAAAAAATGTATTATTGAATAATAGATTGATAGAGAATGTGTGGTTAAAAATGAAGGAAAAGTTATTGATGTGATGGAAAATATTATTTCATTGAAAAATGTGTGGTTGAAAATTAGTAGAAGAATGAGAATGAAAAAAATAATGTGTACCAAACAGGCCTTAGTAAAATCCACCCAAATAGTATATCCCAACTTCCATAAAAACCAACAAAGAACCCAATGTAAGTATCTATCACCTCCCCCATTCAATGCGAGGTAGCTGGAGATTATGAAACATGACTTCGACATTGTTTAGCAATGATCTGAAAAGCTAATTAAAGCTTCTCAGGATGTAAGCGCTTTAAAGTGATGGCTGGTTGGAGCATTTGAAATTAAGAAATGCCAGGATTTAGGGAGTAAAAGAGATGATTATATAGTACAAGTTTACATAATTCTTTCTGCTTCAGAATGTTTGACCAAACTATAACTTTCAGCATATCATTCTAAGTTGATTTTCTGGATAAAATGCACCTCGATATAAGTATACTGGTCAGTGCACATGCTAGTTGTATCAAATTAGATCACGGAAGAAATAGAGAGATGGAGAGACAGCAACCAAAAGCAAAGAGCTAGAATTCACATGATTTAAAAATTTATGCTATGAGGGAAGATTCAAACACTGTCTCGGTCTCTGTCATGAAAACAAAGCACTTTACCATTAAATAGCCACTCAGACTTGTTGCGTGTGTCTATTTTCCTAGTAATAGTGATATGCTCTTCCTTACTCTCTCCTCTTAAAGAAATCTGTATATATCCAGATTCCTCCCCACGTTTCACATAAGCTCCAACACTAGAAGCCCTCCCTAGAAGCTGCAGAGACGCAAACTTTTCATATCAATAGTACTTCAAATGCCAAAAAATAAAAACAAATTACAATGCTTTTTCTTCTAACCTGAGGTTCTCCTCCAAGTCCTAATGCAATGGCACATACAAGAGAACTCTTGCCAGATCCATTTGGTCCAATTACAAGATTTAAGCGAGAACCTGGCTTGCAGGTCAACTTGTTGAAGGTCATGAAATTACAAAGCTCAATTTCAGTTATGTTTCCCAACATGTAATCATCATCCCCCCTGTACACACACAAAAATAATAATAATAAATCATGAAGCAGAGGACGAAGAAATATTAAAATCTTAGATCAGAAATTCCATATAAATTTTCAATATTTCACTTCTTTTCTCATGAATTTATAGCAGCCAAACTAAACATCCCATATTTAAGTCACTGATTGAGATAACAACTACCACAACTAAATTCATAGCCTACCTCTCTTGAAAAAAAGAATTATGTGTGTGATAAATGCTCTTCCAACATAACACACTCCATATAGTTAGAGCCTAACAGAAACATGGCTATACTAACATAACATTCTACATCAGCAAAAAATTGATAAAACTATTATGTCAAAACTGAGGAATTGTTACAAGCAATTTGATAATTTTTCAATGGACAAACAAGAAAAATACGAGAGTATAATTTGGATTTTACGATAAATAGAAAAGGGGAAAATGTAGGTACTAGAGAAGACACAGCTGGAAGTAAAACAAGGTGCACATATTTTTGTGTAATTTATTTATGAGAAAGAAAAATTAAATGTAAAAATGTTGATAGATAATAAGATAATGAACTTTGTAATGAGACTGACAAAGAAACGCATAATTAACATTTCAACCGATCAAACTACAGCATATTCAGTCAAACCAACCAGCAAGCTAAAATGTATATCCATCAAGGTATTGACATTTATGATATAACAGAGATGTCTATAGTGAAGTTTTCAGCAGGCTAGCACTTGGCGCACCTAACTAATAGGTCACTAATTTAATTTTGAAAATGGAAAGCAGGCAGCCTTACGGGGTGCACTTGAACCAACGTTTGAAGAGTAATATGAGAGCAATAGAAAATACAAGGCATGTCACAGAAAGTACAACATTATGCATTGTACTTTATGCTGCAAAGAATACAAGGATAGGTATCTGGAAACTCACCAGCAGAAAATATAGATAGTGGATAAAAGAAGAAAAGGTCCAACTTTCACTCGTTAATCCAACAACTGAAAAATAAAACTAGAGAAAACGATAACAGGATCCAATTATAAACAGAGGAATCTAGTTGCAGACCCTCACGGGTAGTTTATGGGCATCATAATGAGCAACTATAATGTAAAAATTAAGATGACTAGAGACAAATTATCCCGCAAATTTCCGAGGTATAACCGCTGAAGCAGGTAGTACAATTTTTCACCAAAGTTTGTGCCTTTAAGCTCAAGTAGTAACATCAAAACCCTAACACATTGTATGGATCTAAAAGGGGAAAAAGGAAACTTTAAACTACTGAATAAAGGAAATGACAAAATAAAAACAATAAAAGGTAGTGAAAGATGGCTGCTGTGGACCTGGAGATTTTGGCCCTTTTCGGCCTTGGCTCGCCAGCCATTGGAATGAAGAATCCTGTAAACCCTGCAATCTGAAAATAATTGGTTTTAAGGTGGTGAAGAATTGGAATGAGTTACCCCAATGATCTTGATCAGAGGACTAGGGTTTTTCCAGTGCGAATGGGGAAGAGATGATGATTTGACAAGAGAGACTGGATTGAGGGCTTGAGCAAGGTGAGACTGTGAGTGGTGAGAATTGGCGCCAAAGGGAGGAGTACGCCCGATGTATTGTAATTCTAAAAATTCTTCTAATTATGGAAAGGGTTATGCTATAAGTACAGGGATTCAAATCCCTGTACTTACAGCACACACACAACACTTGGGGGGAAAACTTTTTTTTTTTCAATATTTTATACATGGGTCCCACACCATGTGAGTGGAAATTCAAAATTCTGGTAAAATTCTGGTAAATTTTTTCTGTACTTGAATCATTTTTCTTATGGAAATCACTTTCATAAAAGTAGTCAAACCGATTCAAAACCAGCTTTTGGGTTTCAAAGTCCCTTCTGACTTTTCTAAAACTATGCCAAACGTGTCCTTAATAAAGCTATGGAATAACGACCCCTATTTGGTTTGAATTAAAATTCAATTAAAATCTCAAATCAAAGTCGACAATTAATTTTAAACACACATTTTATGAGATCCACAACTTTTCAATCATACATTTCATCATCTTTCATCGAAATCTACAAAAAGTCTGATTTTAATCTTTACCACAACGGGTATACATTTTATCATAAATGTTTAGGGTATGTTTTAAGTCCTATTTTTTGGGAGAAAGAAATTTTATAATATTAGTTTTTTAAAGAATGTATTATTAAAAAAATTTTAAAAAAATTAGATTTACACGTAAAATTATTTAATTGGATAAATGCCTAATTGAAAATGTGTTTAAAAAAACTGAATTCTCAAAAAGGATTCAAACGGGGGCTTAACTGAAATTAATTTGGTACCAAAATGTCTATATAAGTAAATGAAATTTTATCATTAGCGTGAAAGGAAAAGGTGCCTGAGCGTAGAATGCATTGCGGTGTTGCGTGAACTGAGATTTGCTTTCAAGCTCTAAACAAGTAATTATGCATGCTTTGTTGAGAGAGTATCTAGTCCATCTCGTGTGTGTGTGTATATATATATATATATTAGAAGAAAATGCTATCTATGAATATAATTTTCTCAATTTTTTTTATTTCATATACTTTTAATAAATAAAGTTTAGTGTGTGTATATGTTTCTTTATTTTTAAATTATCACATACGAGTATTTGTCAATGACAACGGGGCAGGGAGATCCCGATTTTTTATCATTATTGTTGCCTCTGTTGCTGTGTTGAATATGTAGTCATTCACACCATAAATAAATGTTTAGGGCATGTTTGATAAGCCATTTTCATCCATAAAAAATGGAATTGAAATTTCATTTCCCACTTTTGTCATGTTTGATGTCATTTTTTTTTTTTTCAAGAATTGGTTTTCTACATTTGCCATCACGCTACCCCTTTTCTTGGTTTTAGTTGAATTTCAATTCCCACCTTTTAGGTGATTTTTGGTATTCCATCTTTTTTTTTTTTTTTTTTTCCATTTTTTTTTCTTTTTTTTTTTTTTTTTTTGGCAATAGAAATAAATTATATCTCTAATTGTAAAAAAAAAAAATTATTCATTTAATTGACAATTTTCATGTAAAACAAAGTCAAACGAACACCAAAAATTTTTCAAATTTTTTTTTTTTGGACAATCCTAACAAATTATATCCCCAATTGTAAAAAATTCTATCCCTTCAGTGTTACATTTAATTTGAACAGAATGTTTTATTTTGTAATTTCTCATCTAAAACATCTGTTCACACATTTTTATGTTCTCTGGCCTAAATTTTTCTATTTTTATCAAACTGTGCTGTTTATTTCGAAGCATTGTTTGGCCTAATTTTATTTAATTTTCATCAAAATTGCGATGTTGATTTCTAAGGTACGAATGACTTCTTGCTATCTTGATGGAGGAATAATCATATCAACTGAAAATGGAAATAGAAATGGAAATGGAAATGAAAATGAGACCCGGCATGTCACGTCCAACATACAAAGTCCCATGAATTTTTTAGTTTTAATTTTATTTTATAAAAAAATGGAGATAAATTATTAATTATTTCTACCATAGGAGTTGTGCTTGATCCTTTGTTGAAGATTACTCCCAGAGAAGTCTTGATATTTAGGCTATGTTTGATAGCATAGATTTTTCATGAAAAATGGAACTCATTTTCAAATTTTCATTATTTGCCTTGTTTGATAGGTAAAGTTGACAATTTCCAAACAAAACAAAGTCAAATGAATTGTATTCGGTATGGTAATTTTTTTATTTTTTTTTGGCAATTGGAACAAATTCTAGACCAAATGGTAGGAAAAATTATCACTTTAATGGACAATTTTCATAAAAAACGAAACCAAACTTCCAACATTTTTCATGTAGAAAATTATAACAATCAAACAAAATTAATTACAATTTCCAATAAAACAGTTTATAGACAATTCAATTTCCTGTAAAATATTTTTTTCAACTCATTTTTCACATTTGTAATCAAACAGACCCTTGTATAAAAATTTCTCTCTTCGTCCAGGGGCAAATCTAAGGGATGGATGAACGGGTCCCGGCCCATATTCGTTTTGGAACTTTTTTATTTTTATTTTTAAGTTTAGTCAATGTTCAAACCTCAAAGTCTCAAACCTATTAGCCAAGTCCATAGTCCTAAAATTCAAACGCACGTCATCTGTATAACCCAATTCCCGAATTCAAAATCTAATCCAATTGAAATTTCAAAGCAACTTTTGCGATTCCATTCGGCCTTCCCAGTCTCCAATATGTCTCTTGAAGCAATTTGTTTGATAATCCCAATTGACAATTTGGAAGAATGTATTTTGGAATAGTAGATTGATGGAGAATGAGTGGTTGAAAAAGAAGGAAAAGTTGTTGATGTGATGTAAAATATTATTTTAATGAAGAATGTGTGGTTGAAAATGAGTAGAAGAATGAGAATGAAAATTTTAATGGGTACCAAACACACCCTTAGTGCTTAATTGGTAGGGATTTTTGGGGGAAGAAATGATTTTTGAATAGTGATATGATGGGAAATGTGTGGTTGAAAAAAAAAAGAAAAAATTATTGATGTGATGAAAAATATTATTTTATTGAAAAATGTGTGGTTGAAAATGAAAATTGATTTATTGTAGAATTTGAGAATAAAAAACAAACAGACCCTTAATTTCCTCCCCAATCTTCATCCCTTTGCTGAAACCCAGTTGAAACTCTGCTAAGAGCTGGTGAATAAGTAATTTTTGTTATTGAAGAAGAGGCTCGAGGACAAGATGCAATTATTCGAGAGAGTAGTGGACATTCCACCATGCTAAATTTATTTTGTCAATGAAATTTTGCCCACTAATCATACTTTTGAAATAATGCGTTGAAGCCTAGAGACAAGAACGCGAAAAAAATCTCATCAGCTAAGAGCAAATCAAGACAATGAAGGAAGAACCGATCACGCCCTTCTTAAAAATCAACAAGTGAAAACTTGTTTGTGTGTGGCAAGAGTGGGCACGTTGCTCGAGTTTGCAAATATCAAAAAACATGCACCTACGCGTCAATGTAACTTTATGAGGAGTCATTCGTACGTGTGATAAATCAATATCAACACGATCTAAGTGTTGAATGATGGTGGACATATTCTTGTGCAAATAGACATGTTTGCAATGATAAAAGGAATTCTAAACAATTATACTTGGAGATTCTCAATTTCTCATACTGCTCAAGTTCTCGAAATGGGTGAGATTGATTTTAAATTCACCTTTGAAAGAGTTTTAACATTGAAAGATTTCCATGAGAAAGAATTTGATGCCAAATTATCTTTGAACAGCGTTGACTTCAAACTAGACTACGGAATTTGATTAATATGTGATAATCACGAAGTGTACTTTCGAGGCAAATGTTGTGTTTGTAATGGAATGTTTACACTCTATGTAGAGAACGTGAATAAAAATGCTTCAAACTCTTCTTTATGTGCCATCACGAGTTGTTTGAAATTAATTCCTAGCAAAAAAAAAATGGATTTTGAATAATGTGAACTAAGGGTCATTTTAATAGAAACCGTTCAGAGATCATTATGGCGCATATTTAGTCCTTGTTTGATGCTCATTAAAAAGATTTTTTTTAAAAAAAAAATGAGTTTTGAAATTGTGGTTATAGGAAAATTTTCGTATTTGCATGTAAAATATTTTATTGTGAGAATGTGTAATTGAAAATAATTTTTTTTTTTTAAGAATAGTAGGCAAACAAGGACTTATTAAAAGATTTGAATATAACTAGAAGGTTTGAAATCTGGTAGCATATTTTAAAACCTTTAAGACCTCTACTGCAAAATTCATTAACTTAATTTTTTATTAATAATAAAAATAGGAATTTTTAAGGGTTAATTTCACAAATGGTCACTGAAGTTACAGCAAAATTTCAAAACGGTCACTGAAGTTCGAAAGTTGCAGAAACGGTCATTCAACTTTCAGGCGGTTTCAGAAATGGTCATTGAGGTAAGTTTTAGGACTTTTATGTTCTAATTGAAATCTAAGCACCAAAACACGGTCACTTAAAAGCTAGAGGACCTCAACTTCAAAATTAATTAAAATCCACTATTCCAAGCTCTCCAGCCAGGGACGACTCCTCCAAGCTCCACCGCCACCTATGGAGCCAAAATCAACCACCTTCCGGCCAATATGGCCACCGGACTCTACCACCAATAAACTCACCTCATTGCCCTCCACAACAACCATCCAACCGTTGCCTTCAAACCCACTGGAATCAGCAGCAAAATTGGTTTTAAAAACCAAATCTGCCAAACTCTTCTCCTGCTGGAAATCACCATTTCGGCTACACCCATGGTCGTGCATCACATCCGGTCATTAGCCCTCATCCAGAAGATCACAACCATGGTCATACATCAACCAATAATGCCCCCAATCGGCCGTAAT